AGCATCCACCACCTCCAGAGGCAGACTGTTCCACTGCTCAAGCACTCTCACAGTTAGGAAGTCTCTCCTGATATTTAGCCGGTATCGACTCCCTTGTAATTCCCACCCATTAGATCTATTGTGTGTGATACTTTTGTTCTTTGCATTCCTTCTAGTTTTTGTAATCCCAGCCCTTTTGCATGGTTTACTGAATGTCTCATGCTATTTGATTGCATTGCGTTGCATTGTGTAATCGACCCTCAGTGAGAAACATGGGTTAAATCAATATACGAGGCTGTGCCTAATCGATTTTTGCCCCAAAAAGCTTATGTGGAGGCTGAGTAATATCTAATATATTTCCCAAAGCCATTCCAAACATGAGCCCTATGCCACCTCTTTCCTTGGCAAGTCAATACAAACTGTGGTCCACTTAAGAGAGCTCCCCCCCCCAAAAAAATCAACCAAGTAATCCAATCAGATAGACCGGTTACATGGGAAGATGTCCCCTCCTCCACCCCCTTGCGGAACGCCTGAGAAGTTCTTAGGAGCTTCAAGAACTGGTCCCTAAACAGAGTTTACAAGAAGCAAGAAAAAACTGTGAACACGTGACGCTTAATCATTGTTTTTTAAAGAATCAAAAGTTTTTTAAAGAATCAAAATGGAAAAATATATATTTTCATCATGCATTATTATCATCTTAGCCCATGGCAGGTTTTACAAGACATTACAGCTATTATGAATACTGAATCTTCTTTGATATTTGTGAAACGTCGCCTGAGGAAGTGAATCACTGAGTCTTTGTCTTACATCTTTATTCGGAAGAAGATCTACCTTCGAAACGGCAAGACATTCCGGAGATCACCGTCAAATATATATTTTTCCATATTTGTATATTAACTTTGTTCACTTTTGAAAAAACAATTATTAAGCATCACTTGTTCACAGTTTTTTCTTGCTTCTTGTATCGTCTTATGACTGTGCCAATCATTTGACATCACCCTAAATAGAGTTGCCAACTCCAGCTTGGGAAATGTCCAGAGATTTGGGGGTGGAGACTGAGGAGGGCAGAATATGGGTAGGGGAGTGAGCCCAGCTGGGATGTGATTTCATAGAGTCTGTCCTCCAAAGCTTCCAATTCCTCCAAGGGAACTGAGGGTCCCTCCCCCCGGCAGCTAATAGAAGAAGAGACTGGATTTATACCCTGCCCTTCACTACCCAAAGGAGTCTCAGAGTGGCTTACAATTCTTATCCCTTCCCCTCCCCACAACAGACACCCTGTGAGGTAGGTGGGGCTGAGAGAGCTCTCTTGAGAACTGCCCTTGAGAGAACAGCTCTGAAAGAATTTATGACTGACCCAAGGTCACACCAGCAGCTGCATGCGGACGAGTGGGGAATCAAACCCGGTTCTCCCAGATTACACTCCGTGCTCCTAAACACTACAACTAACTGGCTCTCTGTCCCTAAATGATTACATTTACCTCCTTGGTAACTTGTAGCCCAGCTCCTCAAAATTGGGCTGTGTCCACATATTATTGGTAGTGGAAGCCAAAATGTAGCTGGAAGTTTCAGTACCTTAGTAAGACTAACACACACAGGCACACAAAATCTATTGTTCTTCTTGCTGAATTTTTTTAAACCAAAAATGAGGATTGTAATACTAGAACTCGGAATTTTTGGTCTCTCTGAGCCCTTGCCACAGACTCTCCAGTTGTGCATGGGAGGGGGGGGGAGCAGCATGTGTTATCTCCCTGAACCGACACTCCTCGTGGGGGTGCATATATATATCACACAGCACTTGTGAGGCCCAGCCAGCGCCTCCATTTCTGTTATGATTTATGGCTGATACAGATATAAAACTGAAAACTGCTTCACTAGAGTAAATAACTACAAACGTGGAGGAGAGGACTGCAGCAGGGA